GAGACAGAAAGTGAAAAATCACCCCCCAGGGGTGATGGCCATGCTGCAATCCCTTCTCCTCCATTCTCCTCTCGGGATCCTGGGCACACATGCACACGGGCCTGGCATGAATTTAAGCCACCTGTCTGGGACTCGAACAGCGGTCGACTACGTGGGAGTCCAGCGACATAGCCATTATGCCAAGTGCCGGTCCTAGCTCTCTTGAAACACATTTTGAACAGTGTAAAGATTGTGGCTTTTCTGTATCACTCAACCATGGTTTTCCTTGCTGGAGGGCATGTATGTTTGGCAAGAGACAGAGACAGAGGGGGAACCAACCTCTCAATAAGGTGAGGTCATGCTGCAATCCCGTCTCCATTTCTCCGTGCTGTCAGGTTCTGGGGTATGCACACACTTGTGCTTGGTGTGTGTCAGTGGCTGGGACCAGATGTGAACTATGGATGGCCATGAGGAATCCAGCTACCTTAATCATTAGGCCATGGTGCTGACCCACCAACATGAGTTTTATATCTTTCATTTGCTTTTTATTTATTTGTTTTAAAGAATTATTTTATTAGACTTAATTAATTAATTCATTTATTTATTTTAAATTTGACCAGAGAGGGACAGAGCAAGAATGAAAACAAGAGAGAAAGTGAGAGCAAGAATGAAAGCAAGAGAGGAAGTGAGAAAGCAAGCCACCAGTCTGGGGCTTAAATTGTGGTCGGCCATGTGAGAGTCCAGCATCCCTAACTACCACACCACCTGCCAGTCCCCTCATTCGCTTTTTAAAATTTAATTTTATAAAGTTTCTTGGGCCAGCAGGTGGTGTGGTCCTTGTCACCATTCTTACACTGAGTGGCTGGAATTCTGAATACTTTCATTTTTCAGAGTTTTCACAGTTTTGTTTTTTTTTCCCTAATTGCTTCTTTTAGTATGATAGTAACTCTACAGGGTACCCATCTGACAGTATGGTGAGGGTTCCATTTTTTAAAAAAATGAATTATTTTATTTAACTTTATTTATTTACTTATTTATTCTAATTTGATTAGAGAGAGAGAGAGAGGGAAAATGAGAAAGCAAGCTGCCAGGTTCAGGACTCAAACCATGGTCGCCAGACAGAGAGACAGAAAGTGAAAAATCACCCCCCAGGGGTGATGGCCATGCTGCAATCCCTTCTCCTCCATTCTCCTCTCGGGATCCTGGGCACACATGCACACGGGCCTGGCATGAATTTAAGCCACCTGTCTGGGACTCGAACAGCGGTCGACTACGTGGGAGTCCAGCGACATAGCCATTATGCCAAGTGCCGGTCCTAGCTCTCTTGAAACACATTTTGAACAGTGTAAAGATTGTGGCTTTTCTGTATCACTCAACCATGGTTTTCCTTGCTGGAGGGCATGTATGTTTGGCAAGAGACAGAGACAGAGGGGGAACCAACCTCTCAATAAGGTGAGGTCATGCTGCAATCCCGTCTCCATTTCTCCGTGCTGTCAGGTTCTGGGGTATGCACACACTTGTGCTTGGTGTGTGTCAGTGGCTGGGACCAGATGTGAACTATGGATGGCCATGAGGAATCCAGCTACCTTAATCATTAGGCCATGGTGCTGACCCACCAACATGAGTTTTATATCTTTCATTTGCTTTTTATTTATTTGTTTTAAAGAATTATTTTATTAGACTTAATTAATTAATTCATTTATTTATTTTAAATTTGACCAGAGAGGGACAGAGCAAGAATGAAAACAAGAGAGAAAGTGAGAGCAAGAATGAAAGCAAGAGAGGAAGTGAGAAAGCAAGCCACCAGTCTGGGGCTTAAATTGTGGTCGGCCATGTGAGAGTCCAGCATCCCTAACTACCACACCACCTGCCAGTCCCCTCATTCGCTTTTTAAAATTTAATTTTATAAAGTTTCTTGGGCCAGCAGGTGGTGTGGTCCTTGTCACCATTCTTACACTGAGTGGCTGGAATTCTGAATACTTTCATTTTTCAGAGTTTTCACAGTTTTGTTTTTTTTTCCCTAATTGCTTCTTTTAGTATGATAGTAACTCTACAGGGTACCCATCTGACAGTATGGTGAGGGTTACATTTTTTAAAAAAATGAATTATTTTATTTAACTTTATTTATTTACTTATTTATTCTAATTTGATTAGAGAGAGAGAGAGAGGGAAAATGAGAAAGCAAGCTGCCAGGTTCAGGACTCAAACCATGGTCAGCCACGTGGGAGTCCAACACCCTTAACCACCATGTCACCTGCTAGCGCCAAGGGTTCCATTTTTAAAACAAAGTTGGAAAGAGCTTGGTTCTCTCAAGGGAGGGGTCCCTAGAGTGTGTCATGGGGAGTGAGATGACTAAGTTAGAGGGTCATGAAGGGTCTCCACTTCCTGTCCCATTCACACACTCCCAGCCACCTCTCGCACATCCAGCTTTGTACAATGGCACCAGGGGCTCAACTTGCCTTCTTTTGGCTGACCGAGAAGCTAGGCATTCCCCCAAAAGCACACTTGCTATTTTATCCTGTTACTTGGCTTCCTGGGTTTTTTGCTCATTCATTAAGTCATCTGATAATTTCAGATTGAATCCCCACTATGTGCCAGATACTGTCCTAGTGGCTGGAGAAACAGCAAGAAACAAAAGTTTTACCCCCAGGAGAAAAAGAATCAATACACTGGAGGCATTAAGAGGCACAGAGAAAAAGAGCATAGTTACGGGGTAGGAGGCTCTGAGGTGAGGTGTGTCAGAGGTGGCAGGGGAGGTCTCACTGATGGAATGGCACTGCAAAGAAAGTAAGGGCCCATGGGGAAGACTCTTCCAGATAGAAGGTTCAGTGAGAGCAGAGGCCCTGAGGTCGGAGGGTACCTGACATACTCAGACAGGCAAGGCCAGTGTGGCTGAGAGGGAATAATGGGAATGGAGGGGTGGGGGTGAGGTGAGAGGCTCTTGAGGGCCGGATCACACAGGGCTTGGCAGGCCACTGCGAGGACTCTGCTTCACTGAGAGAGAGGGAGTCACCAGAGGCCTAGGGCAGAGACATGACAGGACAGGCAGTTCAAGTCCAAGGCCATCTCTGGGGAAGAGATGATCCCCTGAGGCGGTGGCCGCAGTGATGCGACAAAACAGTTGGTTCTGAGTATACGGGGAGGGCCACGAAGAGTGCTGGTGCAGTTGGATGCAGGTGATGAAAGGACCGAGGGGGCTGAGGACAGCACCAAGGTTTTTGGAGAGATGGCGGCAGACACTCACAGTGAAGCTGATGCTTTACACTTTGGTTCACATGGAGACAGTCCAAGGGATCCCCTGGCTGAAGGGAGGCCATGGGAGCCAGTGCACACTATAGGTGAGACCCGGAGAAGTGACTGCAGTGAGGCCTGCATGGTTTGGGAATGGGATAGGAACTGGAGGAGGAGCTTGGGGAGGATCAGAACGACTGTCCAGTGCCACAGTCGGCCACGAGCAGGAAAACAAGCCGCTGAGATTTGGACTCAGTGTGGATGTCACCAATAAGGTCACTAGAGTTTTTTTTTCTTTAAGTGTTTTTAAATGTGTTTCTTCTATGAGCAAGAGAGAGACAGAGAGAGAGGCACCCCTACAGGTGATGCTGACTTCCACCCCCAGCCTCAGCCAGTCAGGATCACATGTGGCCTGGCACAACTCATGGAAGTTTCTGGATGTGAACCCAGAACCATCTCCTGTGGGTCTGCCTTGCAGAGCCTCCTGCTTTACCCTGTGCCACTACCAGGCCCCGCTTTTCTGTGGGCTGGCAGAGGGAACCTGATTGGACTGAGCTGAGAGAATAGAGGAAACAGAGCTGACAACAAAGTGTTCCCTGTGAGGGCCAAGGATCCAGAAATAGTAGCAGCCAGAGGGCACTCAGGTTGGGGTGTTCTGTCTGGTCTACGCTGCAGTCTACTTACAAGGGGCTACAGCGGAGGCAAGAAAGGGGAGGGATGGGATGCTCCTGAGTGAGCCAGCAATGAGATGACGGTGAGGCTGGACAGATGGTCAGCCATGGTAACAGGACAGTCCGGGGCACGGGGAGATGGGAACTCTCCTCTCAAAGACGCAGGATGCAGGATGTCATTGGGAGAACAGCAGTGGAAGAGGCAGGATTACAGGAGGAGAAAAACAGAAATGATGCTGTGATGGGGGTGGTGGGGCTGAAGGCCTATGGAAGGTGGAGGGACTGCTGGGGTGCACTGGGCTGCCCAGAGGATGGTGCTGAGTTCAGAGCACCCGACGATGTGCCTGTGCACCGTCTGTCACGCTGGCTCCATGCTGTGGGTGTGAACACGGAAGAGCTGGGTCTAAGCAGGGTTGGGGATGGTCAGTGCAGCCTGAGGAAAGGGAGCAGTCAGAGGACTGAGGGTTTCAGC